ATTGTGGCCTGATTCAGCCCAATAAGAATCTCCTGTGCAGATTTCCTCAGTCTTCCCTGCACTGGCCGCAGACACCATACATCTGTGGTGGCAAATATTCCTATCTGAAACTCTGTTGAGCCAGTGTCAACCAATTATGTATTGACCCAACGATCTGCTCTGGATTGATACAATTTCCTATGTCTCAGTGTTCCCTCTCTGTAGGGTAACCATAAGCCCTATTTCACAGAAGACAGCCCTCTATTTGGAGGTGTCCTCTATTTGAAGAGATGCCTATTCAAAGTCTGGTTTAAAGATAACCACTACGAAGGGAGGGCAGGAGGGGCCCTGAAGTGGCCCATCAACAGTTAGCACCTGGGCAGATTGACATTATAGTGGGATGCACTGTATTTCTCTTTAAGTTGTAGGAATTATTTTTAAATTGGCATATATAGTCATACCCATTATAAGCCCGTGCAAAATTTATCGATATCTGCATAATTTCCTTTCCTCTCTTTTGGTGATGCATATGTAGCTACCATAACTCCCCAACAACTCCTGTAGAGGTCCAATGAACACTATGCTTGTGTGCCAATAATTCTAAGAACCAGTTTTCTACACCCAGCTCCAGTGCACCTAAGTGGCACATGGTACTGCTAGGAAATATAAGAAGCGCCGAGAGTATGGCAATGTAATTTTATAAATCACCCAGCTTACAATTTCAGTTGTCCATGTAACATTTATGTTTTGGAGTGAATGGGGGTTGTCTGGTATTGCAGATTAAGTCCTAATGTCCTTTGTGTTTAAAGTCTTCTATGCATTCAGAACCTGACTGTTTTCATTGTGGCATATGTTGTTAAAATGTAGGCGTCTCTTTTTCTTTTTTCAGTTCGGCAACAACAATAACTACATGAACATGGCCGAAGCCAACAATGCATTTCTCACTGCAAACGAGGTAGGCGTTGAATTTCTCTCTCTCCCCCGTTTCCCACCTAATGCTCAAACCCTGACATTTGCTTTGATAATTTTTACAGACTTTTCAGTGGATGACGGGCAAAGTGCTGATTTTTGGGTATGTGTTTTATGGAGCACAAAATACAGACTTTAATGAGAGAGAAAATAACCTGACAGCTCTCCATTACCAGTCAATTTACTTGTCTGTTAGACTGTTACTTACATAGCATGTCAATAGAAGCAAATCTGCTACACACACACACACACACACACACACACGGGAAAACAACACCTCCCTCCCCCTAAAAATGTAACCAGAAGGAAACAAATGAAAGGCACAGTAGGTGTACATCTTTAAAGCAAACAGAGTAGCAGTCATTAGAAGCTAATGCGCTAATTATGGTCATGGATACAAACATTTTATTTTTAATTTGGGTTCTTAACACTATTACGAAAACAAAAGGAAAGCAGCACAGTTGGTGGCATCATTTGTTTCCTGGGGAAATGAGGAAGAGTCTTTCAGTGGAAAGTGTTCAACAGCAGGCTTAAGAAGAAACCATAGATCTGAATTGATGGGGCCTGACTAGGTCATAGAGGTGATGAATTTGGCCTCTAGCCTGGGAGGGCGAGAGGTGGGAGCGGGGTAGTAAGCAGAAAGGGATGCCAACCACTTTGTTCTTGTAGTTCTTCTTACTGTCTCTGTCCCTCTCTCTTCCACCCACCCCCATGACAGCCAGTTAAAGGATGTCAGGGCAGTGGTAGTGACATCAGTTCCAGACTGTACTGTTTTTGGCCAAAGCAAATGCCTTTGCAATCAGGACAAAAGCATATGTAGCCATTACCCCATGGATGTGCCTGCCCCTCCTTCTCCTTTTCTTATTTACAGAAATATAGAGATTGCACATGGTAGAGAATGAAGGTGACAGCGAGTAGTAGGCAGCATCTGAATTCTGCTTGAGGTCAACACCATGGGCAAAAAAAGTCTTGAGATTAATAAAATGTGGAGTGGGTTGACCATTTTGAGTCTAAAACAGCATTCTGCCCAGTGAATGTGCCCCCTCCCCATGGGGAGTGAGGGTATAAGGAAGAAAAAATATTGGTTGGGGCAATGCTACAGTAACTGTGGTTATATTCCAAATAGTATTTTTATGAGCAGCTTTTTAAAACAATGGCTGCCTTCTGCCTCTTTCTCTGTCTCTCTTTCTCCTTCCAACAAGACTGCTTAGATAAGGGAAGATTGCTTGGCACCAGCTCCAGTGTTAGTTGTGATAATGAACACAAACCCCCATCTGTAATGACAACATGATGTTTCATTCTGTAGAATTTCATTCCTCCATTTGAATCAAACATTGATGAAAGCTCTACTGCCAGCAGCTGTTCAAAGACAATTTAATTCCAGCTGTGATAATTCACCGTGTCAGACATTGGCTGTTATATGTTGATACAACAGCTCTCCAGATTTGCATTTTTATCAAAAGGAACAAATGTTTTGAACATTTCAGTGCAGATGGCATTTAACCACACACACAGTTTTTGTTGAGGGTTGGTGGAGTTATCCCCCCCACCCAAGCCCTAGCTCTCCTAAAGAAATCTAAGAGAGAAATGTATGAAAAGTTAATAGCTCTTAAAATTGTGATTGGTAACATGACCCCTTAAAAACATTATACTGTTCTGGACATAATGGTACCTTTCTCCACCATCAAATTACATGCCATTCAGGCACTTCTTACAATGTGAATAGTCCCTGTGATTTGGAATAAGACTACTTCACTATGAGGTTTCCCCCCATTTAGATTGCATTCATTTTACCCACTTATCCATACATTACTTTCAGCAATCATGGCATGAGATACAGTTTGATGTTTTGAATTCTTCTTTTTAAAAAAACCTAAATAAATCCTCACTAGCATACAAGATACTGCTCCCCACCCCATGTGCTTGTAAGAAGATATTACTAACGTGATAAATATATTTTTTGAGAAAATGCTGTAATATTGTATAGTTTGGTTGTACATGTCTGGAAGCATTATGGATTTATTTCTCTCTCTTTTTTAACATGGAATGTTCCCTTCTCGAAATTAATCCAGCTGCCTCCTCCATGTCATGCTTAAAGCTTATACTATTGGTTTAATTACACTGAAGGAGTGGAATAAGATTGAGTGTTAATATTTGCACTGCAGCATGAGGATAACTCTGCAATTACTGCCCTATAAGCAAATTCAATTACACAGCTTTTACTTTTAAGTGAACATCAGTATTTTGAGTGTGGACATCTCAAATCTGAAAATCCGTGCTGGTGCTGCTTCTTTTAATATAATGCCATGCATGCAGCAGTCATTGTGGAATTAGCATTACAAGACCATCTAAGATGAGAAATTGACACGTCACCTTTTTGTTGCAACTTGCTTCTGTGTCGTGATGGCAGTGACCCACACTTCCCCCCACCATTAATTCCTGAAGCACCTTAAATATTTATTGAAATAATATTTCAAGTGTTAATTACTGCAGTAATGAAAACAGCCAAATGCCACATATCAGGAATGAGTGTTTATCCATATTGTTAATGTGATATGTTAGATTTCATTAAGCAGTAATGGGGTAGCAAATGACTCGCAAATTACCATTGCATCTGTTACTAGACCACATTAGTGCCAAACGTAACGGCAAATGTAGCCATAGGGTTATGTTCATTAGCCATCCGCCTTCCATGGCCAATCCATCCTTTTGTGTTGGTGAACTTCACACCTCCCCTCTATGAAGATGCCCCCTCTTCCTACGAAGCGTCAGTAAATGCATCCCTAATGTAAGAGAAAGCTTTCGCAACCAGAATTAAGTTGCAATCTCTGAACATGTGTGTGCTCACTTTGCTCACTGTGCACTGAGGAAAGACTGCTTAAGTCTCTTAAGACTGTCAGTATTACTCCTGCAGACTGTAGCTGTGTGTTACCTCATCATTTCTGGTGTGAGACCAATAATGACAGCTGACAGGTTTTATATGCAAGCGAAGGTTCCACCCCCCCTCTCTTTGTGTGTGTGTTTCAGTTTCCATTTTCTCTCAAGCGGTTATTAATTTATATCATCATTAACAGTTTGAAGGATGACAATTTCCAGCACTTAATGAGATCTTTCACTGAACATATCATTTTTAAATTAACTGGCATTAAGTCATTCTTTCAGACAATGTAAATAATGCATTAAAGGAAGGGTCCCTCCCCATTCTCCTGCACCCCAAGCCTCCACTTTTGCAGTAAAAATTTAAGCCAGTGTAGGCAGACAAATCTCAAAGTAGTATTGCACGCTTGCAGGGTTGGGGGAGAAATCTGATTTGTTTCACTTTTAAAGGCAGAACTACCTAATTCGGAAGCAATATGCAAACCGAAACACAGCCATCCTTCAAAATGTGGATTTCTCTGAATTTTGCAATGCCCAAGTAATGCACATATAGTAGTAGTAGTAGTAGTAGTAGTAGTAATAATAATAATAATAAGAAGAAGAAGAAGAAGCCACCCATCTGACTGGGTTGCCCCAGCCATTCTGGGTAGCTTCCAACAAAGTATTAAAACAAACCCCTCAAACATTAAAAACCTCACTGTACAGGGCTGAGAATATGAAAATAACACACAAAAATGCATTATATTAGGGGAAATTGCTTTGCAAAAAATCTGTTTGTTGGAAGAAATGTGCACTTAAAATGCTGATGGATGTTCATGATAACTTTTTTTTTTTTAATGCAAACTGGATATGGAAATGTGGAGAACTGGATGTAAGATTGGAAAAATGAGAAATGGAGAAAACCTTAAATTGACAGATCCACCCACCCCTGTGTGCTTGAAAGCAACACACTGTCTGCCATACAAATGACTTTTTAGAAGTTTGGAGTCTTCTGCTTATTTCCCCAGTAGCTTGTTAGTGTTTATGGGATGGGACAGTGGGCAGAAGCAGTGGAAGCTGGCAAGGCGGTTTGTTGGCATAGGAACACAGGATTATACCAACTGCATGAGGGAATCAGACCATTAGCTCATATTATTAAGTACTGCTAGGGTTTCAGACAGGGAGGGGCCTTTCCAAGCCCTACCAGAAGATGCCAGGGATTGAACCTGGGACCTTCTATTTGCAAAGCTATTACTCTTCCCCTAAGCCACAAGTGGCCACTATGGCTGTGGGGACGGAATTCCCAGCTTTACCTTTCCACAGTAGTGAAGTGGGCAGTGCCACAGGCCACTCTGTGAAATCACATGGTTCCACTTGACAGTTGTATTGGCGTGATCTCAGGCTGCTGATGCCAGTAGAGGCAACTATCCACTCAGCTGTGGCATCTTCCTCCTTAGCTGCTGCCTCCCAGCATTGAAATAGTAGGAATTCCTCTTCCCTCTCTGTTGCCATACAGCAGCTGCACCCTGCAGACTGCCTCATTAGCCATGGCATGTTCTGAAAACTCACAGAACATGTGAAGATGATCAAGTATCAAGTGGTCTTTATATTGAGGTTATTGTTCTATAGGTTAATAATATCTTAAGAATATCATGAGAAGAACCCTTATAGATGAGAGCCATATACTCTAGTGTTCTGCATCCCCCAGTGGCCAACCAGATATTTCTGGCAAATGTACAAGCATGAAGGCGATAACTTTCTCCTGCAGTTGATCCCAAGCAGCTGGTAATTGTTTATGAAAATGAGACCAGGTTAGCAATTCCCAGGCTATTGTGACACCAAAGGGGCTAAAACAAGAGTGGGGAAACCGTGGGTTGTTGTTGGACTCCATTTCCCATCAGACCCAGACAACATGGCCAATGGCTAGAGGTGCTGGGAGTTCTAGTCCAGCAACATTTGGAGGTGCACAGTTTCGCCACCTCTTAAAAAACTAAGCCATCATTTTGGATATTTCTATCACTAAGTGGGTCTTAGAGCAATAGAGGCACATGTATCTGGTTCCCTGGTCTCTCTGCAGTGACTTCACCCCAAGTGAGGAGGAAGTAAGAGCTTCTCAGTATACATAAGCTCACTACAGATTGTCCCCCACAAACATTGAGATGGTGGCAGTGAAATTCCAAGGTTATCCGGGTTCAAGTTACATATAAATACAAGGTGGTTGATGGTCCCAGGAGCACCCAAACCAGTGTCTGACATGGTGCCAAGGATTTTTTACATTTTATTTTGAGTAAAATGAGAAACCTTAAGCCAAAATGTATTTAAAAGTACCCCCCTCCACACACACACACACACACACACACACACACAAACTATTAGAATTTCAGACAGACACACAAGTGAATTTAATCTTCAGCCTCTGAAACAAGCACACATCCAGAATCATTACAACTTCTCAGGGAGTGCAGGTCTGTTCACGAACCCCAACTAACTGGGCAAAGGGAATGTAAGAAGCTGGAAGGTGGAGATAACAGTTGCAAGGAGGATGCATTAGGGAGGAAGTCAGGAATATGATGGAAATACAAGGGATGCTCAGAAGATCCACACATACACAATGAATGTGTGATGGAGTAACAAAATGGCACCCACTAGCTACACTGCCTCCATGCTTACGCACGCCATGTGACTGCACATTTGGCCTTAGGGTGAATGGGTCTGCACGCATGCATTGGACTACTATGACTGCACACAGGCAGCCTGATTGGCCAGGGGTCTCATTAAAGTGGAAGAGCCCTACACAGGTACATGCCACCAGGGGCATAGCTGTGTATTGGTGTAGAGGGAGGCATGCCTAGTGGACATGATCCTGCTATCCTTCTCCATTAAAGGGGTGGAGGTTTTATAAGCACCCATGAACAGACACACTTTTGAATGTAGACATGTCCCCACTTTTAACCCAGAAACCCAGAATAATTTATTCATTGTTTCGCAGGGAACAATAGCAAAAAGTGTTCATTTCTGTGCCAGATATAAGCAGCATTTCAGCATCAAATGACCTTGATTTTTTCCCTAAAGGGGTTAAAAGTATGTTAGCTACCTTGAAGAAAATTAGAAATAAAAGTTTCATAAAGTTTTTCAGAAGAAACCTACCCCCCCCACAATCCTTGCTCTGAATCAAACCAAAATTCCTCCATTTATAAGCCATTTCCCCCCAAAAGTCCATGTCTCTCACAACCACCTTCATATCAAAGGCTCTATCATACTCCTATTCCTCTTATGGAGGGAGCTTAAAAGCAGGATTCTAATATTTCACATTTATGGGTTGTAAAAGAATTTTGAAGTATTCACTACCAGATTAATGTTGTGTGTGTACTACCAAAGTTGCCAGCATTTTATTTGACGCATCAGAATAATGGTTAGGCTGTTTGTGCTGTTTTACTAACGTATCAATAAACTGGCAATTTGTTATGCAGCCAAAAAAACAAGCAACCCAAAACCACAACCCAGTGTAGCTGATGCTCACACCAACAACAAAGACAGATGTTGCTAATTAAGGGTGCATTAAAAAACAGTTAATACTGATACACCATTAAAGCCATATGATAATGAGACTTAAATCTTTAATCTGAAGGATCCATAAAAGCTGGGCATATGTGAATATTGCTACACTTGTGATTTACAAAATAAAGTAAAATAAAATGGTTTGCTTGTGAGCTAAATCTTACAGGGTGTAAACAACTCCCTTTTATTACACACGCTGCAGTCATTTATTTAGCAGTGTTTCGTTGCAGTGAAGTTGCTGTTCTTTCTTCTTTTTCTTCGTTTAGCAAACATTCCACACTCCAAGTCTTGGAGATGAAGAGTTTGAGATCCCACCAATTACTCCACCACCTGAACTGGATCCCACCAACTTAGGGATGGCAGATATACTGTTGCCATTTCAAGGTCTAAGTGATCAGTTGGCTGCACAAGGGAATGAGTTCACGCCACAGTTTCCACCGCAGAGCTTGGATCTTCCTTCCATTACAATATCTCGAAATCTTGTGGAACAAGATGGTATCATCCAAAGCAATGGGTTACATATGGTACGGATTTTTCCTTTCCTTTCCATTTGACTGCATAACTTCTCTTACTGCTGCATAGAATTGCAGTGTTGTGTACTGAGCCAAACATTTATGCTCCCCTGCCACCCCCTCCAATAACTTATCTGGCAAGCACATGAAAATAACATCCAGCTGCTAAAAGATGGTACTCCTTGCACTCAATACAGCATCCTTATTTGTTGTCTTTTGTTGTAGTGATGCACAGTCGATATCACTAGTGTCTTGTGGCAGGATATTTTCATAAATTTTCAGTGGGCGCCATAATGTGCATTCACTTATTTCAGGGATGGTGAGACCCTTCAGCCCTTCAGATCTTGTTGGACTCCAGCCCTCACCTGTCCCAGCAGGGCCAATGGTCAGGGATAATGGGGGTGAGAGTTCAACAACATCTGGAGGGTCACAAGGTCCCCATCCCTTACTCATTTCATTGGTTGGAAGGCTCCCAGCAGTAGAGAGAAAGGAGAAAGTTGCAGACTGCAGATTCCGGGTCATGAGCTGGTGGCAGAGCATGACTCTGGAGCAAGGAAAATAGCGAGCCCAAATTCAGATGATGCATGAAGCCAAACAATCGTTTAGTCCTGAGTAGTGTAGCAACAGGAGGGGAGTGATAGCCACAGTCTCCTCTCTGGGAGCCTGCACATTCATAGTAAGCCACTGTTTAGCTTTACTGTGGTACCTCAGGTTAAGAACTTCATTCGTTCTGGAGGTCCATTCTTAACCTGAAACTGTTCTTAACCTGAAGCACCACTTTAGCTAATGGGGCCTCCTGCTGCTGCCGCACCACTGGAGTATGACTTCTGTTCTCATCCTGAAGCAAAGTTCTTAACCCGAGGTACTATTTCTGGGTTAGCGGAGTCTGTAACCTGAAGCGTCTGTAACCCGAGGTACCACTGTACTTAGTGTAATGTGCAAACCCGGACAGTGTTTTAGCAATGCAGCTGAATTTGTGTTTAACCCATTTGCAAGGCACAGTAATGTGTATATTGGGTTGTATGATGTAATCTTCATGTGCAGAGATTACACCTGCTTCACAGCTTAATAGGTGTAATAGCATTACTGTAAGGTACACCCTGATAGTTAATTTCTTATCCTTGTAGCTTTTTCTATGGACCAGAAGGCTTTGTAGTGTAAACACTCAGTGCTAAATACTTACTGTTTCCCTAGTATCAGCTGTAAGCAAGTAGAAATAAATAAATATAGAAAGAAAGAAAGAAAGAAAGAAAGAAAGAAAGAAAGAAAGAAAGAAAAGAGATAGGTGAAGCTTAACGGCTGTGTTAGTTTTACTTAGTGGGCTTGTTACTTATGACCATTAATTTCAATGGGTCTACTCTGAGTAGGACTAGCATTGAATGTAATCCTGGATATTTCGAAGCAGCAAAAGCTTGAGGTGTTGTGGTGGGTGGGTGTTGACTTGAAAAGCTCTTCTAAATTCTCCCCCATTTCATTCTGTTCCCTCTTTCAGTCTGAACATCTAATCTAAATTCCATAGATGTGGTGGTAAATGTCTCTCATCATTTATTGAAAATGTGCACTTTATTAAACTGATAAATATTTATTAATAATAGAATCCATCTTTAGATTGTATATTTCGTGAATTACCTTTCTTTAGAGCTATAACTTTTTTTTTATTACCGCAATAAAAAAAACGTAAAAGAGGCATTTTAACTATGAAATTTCATTTCATGGTCAATTGGGCTTACTGTATCTAAAAGAACTAAATATGGAGCCATAAAATAATTATGATATTCATCTACACTCTTGAACAATGCCTGCATGAAGCAGCATTCAGCTTGTCAAATCTTACTGCATTGTTGAGAAGTTGCTAATCGGTAATGATAGACAAGACCTCAATGTCTATAGAGGCAAGTAATACTTTTTCCAAACCGAAACCATTAGAATAACATAGCCCTTTTTTTCTTTTTTTTAAGATACCAAATGAAATCCCAGCCACTTTTGGAAACATTACTGTGTTAGACAGCTTCACTGCAAATGATAGCTATTTTAATTGGATTTATAGATTGACCCTGTTGAAATGTCCAGTAGAATTTCACCTTGAAGAAAATGTCATGAAATTTTCAAGCACAAACAGAAGAAATGAAATGTACTTGGGCAGAGCTATGATTAATACAGTGTGTCTCTGGCTTTGTTCTGAGCAGTACCTGACATGTTCACCTATAA